TCATGTTCAACGTTAGGTCACTTTCTTTGTATAAAAGAATTTTTAAAATAATTACATCTGTTACAAACGCATAATGAATAGTAAATGTGATTGTAAAATTAAACAATCTTTTATTTAAATTTATATCAACAGCAAAACGAACAATAAGTATTAATTTATTTAAATAAATTTTATTTTATTTTTTGTTATTTTTAGATTATTTACAACAATAAATTGAACAGTAAGTTAGAATTTGTTGAAATAATTTTTTTTTGTTTTTAGATTTATTATAAGGATAAATCAAATAGTAAGTATTAACTTAGATAAGGTGGGATGTCCAAAACTAGATTGAACACCACAAATATTAGTCTTTATATTACTTGAAGAGTGAGGATAAAGGAAATAGGACATGCGTATGTGGAATAATATGAGAAAACAATGTTGTATACTACCGCGTACGATCGTTTACGGTGGTCGTATACGATATGACGATATACGACCGCAACTCTGGCATCAAATAATACTCGTTCTGTGGATCGACGTGGTTTTTCATACTCTTAATTGTGTTTATTGATTAGTTTGTAAGGAGTGAGACAGGTTTATATTAAGTTTTCAAAAGGAAAAATTATTTTTTTCATAATTATTATCCAAAAATGGTATACACCCTAAGACGATTGAGTCCTTAAAAAGTTTTTTTTGCATTCAGCGAAAAAAAAAATACACAGAAATATTCGGCATATCCTGGTCTATCTTTATAACGTATTGAAATAGTAACTTAGAGGGATGGCAGATTTACGATTTTATCTGACGGTATTCTTTCATTTCTTGACATACTCGTAATTTTCTATTCTCGATTCCTAAAGCGCTAGGTGTTTTTAGTAAAAAATGTGAGAGAAAAAGTACAAATGAGTTTTTTTTTGTAAGAGTGTTAGTATGATTATTAATAAGTTCTTCAATCATAATGATAAGATGTTTGTCGGAACACTTATCAGAGTTGGGATTTTTGAGTGTTTACACATCTGTGCAATTAATTGATGTGTAAAAACACTCATAAAGTAGATTTTCTATACATGTACACGATCAAGAACAATAGAAATAGTACTTGTGTGCATGTAGACGCTTAAAATAGAGATTGTTTTAGCGTTTTGACGACAATTAGATGCTTTTTATATCCGTTTTAACGTTGAAAAAATTGTGTTTTCGTCTGTATGCACATATTTTCAAAAAATCTTGTCTACTTAAGTGTAAAGAACGTCATTAGTCTCAAAAATTCCATAATACATTGTTTTACTCTTTGAATTATATTGAGTTAAATTATACTTGAAAAGAATATTTCCGAGTGTATTCGACTGGAGCTATTTTATAGAAAAATATTCCTCTATGTGTTGTAAGTATGATTTGAATCGCACTTAAACAGAACAAGATTTAAGATATTTGATGAATGTTACTTTTTATATCTTATGTAAAATTTTAAATCAAATCAAATGATTTAATGAAAAGTTATAGAATAAGTCATTATCAAAAAAGCCTATTCAACAAAGTCAATCTAATGACTTTTGTTTATGTGAAAGTCTTTATATTCTCTATGTAAAATAAAGTTGACAAGAGATAAATTCTCTTATGCATCTCGTACGGAAATTTTCTTTGCTTCGTTTTATATGACATGCATGCTGTTAGTTCTATGTTAGATAGACTTAAAATTAAGTTACTGTCATTCTATACACACAAAAAAAATAAATATATACGTATCTGTCAGACAATGTAAATGCGGGTTGAAAGATTATACAAGTAATCAAATATGAATTAATTGTTTATTCTAACAGAACATCAAATTCTCTAGAAATTCGAATATTTAATTATGTTTTCTCATTTTGCTTTTATTTTTATACATGTCATCAAACAAATGATGTTATTTTGTTATATATGTCTCTTATAAACTAAGTGATAGTATGAAATAGAAAGAATTGAAAATTTGTATCTCTATATAGAAAAATTCTAAAGAAATAAATTATCTGATAAGAATTCGAAAACAAAAAAGAACTTATTAGTCAAATACAATTAAAATCTAAATCCTACTAAAAATAAACTTGAAATGCATTCATATAAAAATTTAAACAATTTGTATCAAACAAAAGAAAAGACATTAGCATTTTAATATTATGACAAGATCGGTAAAGTTAAACATGCAATATATTAAATAATATATATTTCATTAAATGATAAATTATTATTTTATTTTATTTACATACAATAATAATTATTTGCTTATATTAATCAAAAAACAAAAAAAAAATAATAAATCAATGCATGTTTAAAAAGCTCATCGATAGATATGCATGATTCAACAGCTTAGTCGTTAAATGCATAATGATGATGATAAGAGACTTTTCATTTTATAAAAATAAAAACCGGGAAAAAAGATTTTGTTTATAATAGAAATAATTTACATTCAATAATAATCTCATAAGTATTTTCTTCGTACGTTTTTGTTTTTGTTCATTACAAAAAGTAACGTAATTATAGTGCGGAATTGGAAATATGTTCGCATTTAATGATTTTGTTTTGTTGAACTTTTTAGATTCGTTATACTAATGAGAAATGTAATGAATCAGTTATCGAACATATTTTACTTTATAAGAGGCTTGCACAAAAAAAAAACATACATATCCGTAAAAAACAAGAAATCGAGCATTAAATTTGCACTAAACCCTTAGGAATTTAACATCATATATGATTAAGATCATCATGTTAATGGATATTTAATGAACATCGTTTTTAATTTTAGAAATATTTCAATTAATACACGTACATTTTTAATAATCAAGTCTACGCATTGATGATTAAGATCAGTCCTATGAGTATGATAAAGAATGAGAGGAACAGATGATAATAACATTAAATTGAAGAAAACAAAAAGTGTCAGTTTTTTTTTCTCAGCAATATTGTTCTCATCAGAACATCTTGTTTTCTAATAGCTTTTTTGTCTTTCAATTTCCAATTTGATTGTGCGTAATGCAAAGAATGACTTTTACTGTCATATTTCACGACCATATTTATGATCTAAGTCACAATGAATATATATATATATATGTGCAAAAAATGACAAACAGATTCATAGTGTTGTGCATTGTTAAAAGAAAGAAGTAAAGAAATTGAAGTTTGAATTAAAAAAAGAAAAGAATATGAATCTTCTCTTTATAAGAAAATAAATGAGAAATTTCTTTATCTCATCAATTAGAAAAGACAGAAGAGAATATTATTATCTGACACTAACCGTCAGAAATATACAATGGAATAATTTTTTTGATGTGTATGTAGTTGATATCTTTTGCGTATTAATTCTATGAAAAAAAAATTAGATATTCTATTTTACATTAAAATTAATTCTACAAAGTATTATTTTAGATATTTATAAAATATTGGTCAATACAATCGATTGTTGTTTCAACTCAAAATTAACTATTGTTTTTTGTTTTCTTTCTTGTATGTTACAATTTTATTATTATTACTATTATTGTTACCATCGTTATCTGTGATTAACAAAAAAAACAACGTAAGAAAGAAAAAACAAGTAGAATAATTTCTTTTTTTCTTTCTTTCTTTCTTTCTTTCTTTTTTTTTTTTTGCTTTTCTATTAGGATTTTCCTTTGTTTTTTTTTCAATGCATTTTCCTCATCATCGTTTATCACGAGAAATAATTAATGATGGATCTCGATCATTGAAACCTGATCGTGATGTTGGTCTTTCATTTTTATATCGTTCAACACGAGGAAAAGCACGTTTAAGTCATTCAACATTTCCTACTTATTATTCTTTAGCATATATACCAATGCCATATTTACCAAAAAATAATACACGTACAGTTCATTCGAATGTTCAAATATCATTATATAATTTTCTTGAACGACCAGCTGGTCTCAAATGTTTTACTTATCATTTTTCTGTGTAAGTATAAAGATACTTTTATTCTTTAATAAACTTAAGAGATGATTGATAGAGTATCAATATATAGAATTCATTAGATTCACATGGACGTAGTTTTATGTTTTTTTTTTAAATCAATTTACTGAATTCTTCAGTTGATTAGATCCAAAAATAAATTCGAATTTGAAGAAATTCAATTGATCATTCATTAGGGAAATCAATGATGAGTTTTGATATATTCAATTTCAAAAGATTTTTCTATCGATGAGATTTAGTCTCATAGGTATTCTTCTATTTGTTTTACTTTTGTCAAATGATTAAAAATTAATTAAATTATATTTTATAATTTAGATTTCTTGTGGTGCTTGTTGGTTTTGTTCTATCTGTTTTAACAACTATAGAAAGATTTTCTAGACGTTTATCAATATATGTTTATTGGATTGAAATACTTCTTGTTCTTTTTTTTGGTGTTGAATATCTATTAAGATTATGGTCAGCAGGATGTCGAAGTAAATATATGGGTATATCAGGTCGATTTCGATTTGCACGAAAACCAATTGCTGTTGTCGGTAAGAGAAAGAGACAATAAATAATTAGATAATATAATTCAATGAATTATTTATTATTTAAAATAGATTTATTAGTTGTTATTGCATCAGCATTAATGATTATTTTAGCTGCTGATCGACAAGCTTTTGCTGCATCAGCTATACGTGGTGTACGATTTTTACAAATTCTACGTGTTTTACATGTTGATCGACATGGTGGAACATGGCGTTTATTAGGCAGTGTTGTATATATTCATCGACAAGTAAAAAAGATCATCTTTTTTTTGTTTTTGTTTTTATTTTTGTTTATAGAATTAAAACTTCTTTTTGTTTTTTTTTTAAGGAATTGATTACAACATTATATATTGGATTTCTTGCATTAATTTTTTGTAGTTATCTTGTTTATATTGCAGAAAAAGATGAAAAAACTGATGAATTACGAAGTATAAAAGGTAATGATAGTCATTTTGAAACTTATGCTGATGCATTATGGTATGTTTTATATTGAGAAAATTAAATATATATGTTAAATAGTTTTCTTTATTATAGGTGGGGTATTATAACAATAACTACAATTGGGTAATAAAAAATTATTCAATTAATTAATTAAAATTATTTTTGATTTTTTATATTTAGTTATGGTGATGTTTATCCCGTGACTTGGTAAGTAAGATGCCGGAAATTTGAAAATTGAGTAAAAAGAAAATTATTTTGCCATTTTGTTTTTTTTTCTCCTGGTTGAATAGAACGTGTCGAGTTTACTAGAAAAATATTGTTTATAATATATTCAAGCGATGATGTTTTTTTTTTTTGAAACTTAAAAAAAAAACAGGTTAAAAATAAAATAGAAAAGCCTATAAAAACTGAAATATGTCAAAAGTATCAAGTCTAGGTAACCGAATGGTTTGTTTTTCATCTTAATCGTTATATAATTAAGAAAAAAACATATTATTTGATTGTTGAGAAAATCGATTTTTTTTTTCAATATGATAGCAAAAAGAAGGTCATCAATACAGATTTGATTTCTAAGATTTTAATTATTAGAACTTTAGTTCCAAAAGAAATGAATATCATATTCAGAATCAACAGAAAAATTTGCATCGAATAGTATACTTTAATACTCACAACTCATTTGGACTTCGGGGAAAGCATAGGTTTAAGTAGTCGAAAATAACATTGAGGAAATGGAAAAATCTCAAAATCAAATTTTTCTCAAATTTTAATGTATGGAGAGTTCATATACTGATTATAACACTTAAGAAATATACATACTATTCATAAACATTATAGTCCCTCAGATAAACTTATGTAAATTTTGTTTTTCGATACAATTACACATACTCTTCAATTTTTCTATAATTAATAGTTTTCATCGTTGCTTTTATTATATTTAAAAGTTCTATGATATGATTTTCCATTGTGTTCAACTATGTGTCACAGAACAAGTGAATACTAACGAGAGAAATTGTACACTATTGAGCTCTATATATCTTTTTGGAATAACAGTAGCAACTCATTGTTAACTTGTAAGATTATTCCTTCGAATAGTCTAGTTTACTATATGAAGAAGTTTATATATTTACGCTATCTTAACAATTCTGAATGATCTTATTAAAAATTTTTATGCATCAATAATCATCACACCATCCTTGATGAATTTATACAAATAATTCATTTATAAATAGAAAAAAAAAAGTTTTTTAGCCTCTAGATTTCTCAAGGATAAGAAAAAGATTATTTTTAGAATAAACATGTGATATTTTTAGATTTTTCTGAAGTTTCATGCAGAAATCAAAATTTGAAAAAGAAAAAAGTAATTAAAATAACAAGACCTCCTTCCTGCAATCCTTCATCCTTACTTCCCTTTAGATATTTGAAGGTTGAAAAAATTTTCTTTCTATTTATAAACGAGTTCCTTATATCAGTTCATTAGGTATATTATGCTACTTATTATTATATAAACATTTTTAATAGGATCATTAATATACTGGTCTCTTCCGATAGGAAAATAGGCAATTCGAGGAACATTCTTACAAGTTGACAATCACTTGTTGATGTTCCGATAAGATGTATAGAGCTCAATAATGTAAAATTTCTTATGTTGATATTTACACAAGTTCAACACAATGGAAAATCATAATCTAGACCTAAGAAAAAGAATTATTTTTAAATATTAAGAAAGCAACAATGAAAATTATTGATTTTTAAAGGATTATATATTTTATTTTTAATGTAATTTTTTTAAAACATAATTTGAATATGTCAAAAACAACATTTTTCTAGGTAACTCGAGGAACTCTATTAAATTATGACAAAAGAAAAGACGTCAAAAATAATTTTACTCAATTTTTGAATTGTTAGCACTCTAAATAATATTTAAACTTTACTTTTTTTTTTTTCTTTATTATCTATTTCTAATGAATATTTAAGGGTTGGAAAAATAATTGCTTCTTGTTTTGCTATTTTTGCGATATCATTTTTTGCATTACCAGCTGTAAGTATTTCAATAGAAAATTAAAATTAATTATTTCTATTATCACTTGTTTTATTTTTTAGGGTATACTTGGTTCTGGTTTTGCTTTAAAAGTTCAACAAAAACAACGTCAAAAACATTTCTCTCGACAAATTCC